AAAACCAACTCGGACGTCAACGACCCAAGCGTAATGGTTGCCGCTCTCTTTGCATGCTGGCGTAACATGCACTCCTACTAAAGCAGGCGCATGCAACCGGGTGAGGTGCCCGCCCATGGCGTAGTGTAATCCACATGATGCGCTTTAACGTATGCGATTTGCCGGCAGTAGCTGGCGGCATTGGCGCTCTATTGCACTTTTCCCTGTATCTCCAAAATGGATAGGATAGTGGACCTTTTGCACCAAGCCGTCCACACAGTTGAAGCCTGGATTCCGCGTGCTTCGACTTTGGCATATGAAGTTGTCATAGAGTCGTGCATATATTGTTGATGGAACCCTTGCCTCGCTCGTATGCTCGTTGCAGCGATCCACGAAGGAGCACCACCCGGCACCTGCCATTTGCTCACATTATATGGGTGGGGCCCGGAACTGTGGGCCGCCCTCCTTCCAGGATGACGCATTGATAAAACTATCTATCAATGCTAAGCTGAATTAGAGTACAGCCCTTGACTGCGCTATTATGAGTCTCACAACGGCATCCATGTATGTGACCGTTTTGCTGGGAACGTTCACCTGGAAAGCGGTTCGTCAACTCTCCCACTGTGAATCCAGACAGCTTTTGGAGACGGCACTGCACTTCCAGCCTTCCAGCGAATTCTTGGAGCTCTAGCTCCTCCGCCTGTAGAAATGTTGGTCAGCGTGCGGGGCCCAGTCATTCGCTCGCAAGCAAACCGCTGTGTCAAGGCCCCCTCCGCAAATGCACCTTCACCGCTGCAGGCGGAGCTGGATTTGAATGGCCGTTTAGTCCGCGTCCGTTTAGAAAGTGCGTTTTGGGTGGATTCCTTAGCGGCTGCATGTGCATGTAGGAGCAGGCTCTTTAGGCACTGTGAATCCAGACAGCTTTTGGAGACGGCACTGCACTTCCAGCCTCCCAGCGAATTCTTGGAGCTCTAGCTCCTCCGCCTGTAGAAATGTTGGTCAGCGTGCGGGGCCCAGTCATTCGCTCGCAAGCAAACCGCTGTGTCAAGGCCCCCTCCGCAAATGCACCTTCACCGCTGCAGGCGGAGCTGGATTTGAATGGCCGTTTAGTCCGCCTCCGTTTAGCTAGTGCGTTTTGGGTGGATTCCTTAGCGGCTGCATGTGCATGTAGGAGCAGGCTCTTTAGGCACTATTTGAACTTCAGTTGGCTAAACGGACGAATGGATGGGGCTGCTTTGTGCGGATTGCGGCATCTAGCGAGGCGCTGGCGAAGCGCCTCCATCCCACCCGGTGGGAAGGCAACTAGGAGCAGGTGAAAGCGGCGTAGTATACTTCTAGCGAATGTTTTTTCGCATGTTTTGTTAGCATATGGGGAGGATGTGTCCTTTCTACCTTCTTATGGTGTGTTGGTAGGCGTTGGTGGTTCGCGGCAGTGCAGCCCCCTGGAAGATAGTTCGGGTAGAACGGCAGGAGATGGATAGCCGTCCGCCGCCCGATGCGGGGCATTCGGGATAACTTTTTGTTGCTTTACGTTGAACTGTAGTTGTTCCAGTTTCTCGTTCTTTGATCAAAATGTTTCGTGGCACCACCTCAGAAATCGGTATGCAGATGAGCATTCAAACACCAAGCAAGAAGTAGATCTGCTGAGTGTGTATTTCTCTAGAGAACGCTAGTGACGCCGGGTTTAACTGCATGTGTATGTATGTTGTGTTCATTACGAATTTGAATGAAGACGAACATCGTGTTTTTAGGGAAGCATCCGGTATGTTGGATTGGGTGGAGCAATGCTGTCGCATTCAGGCTGGTGAAGCTTATGGCGTGGATCTCATCTCAGGAAGTGAGCCAACGATGCCACCGAACCCTGCCTGCATTTGCTGCTCCTTTATGGTGCATCCGATAATTGTTTGGGCCTCTTGCTTGGCTTATGCACTGCGCCCACGCTTGGGTTCACTGCGTTTGTCTCTAGGGTGATGCATTTAGCAACGGCGTCTTTTGACTAGTCTTCACAGCGTTAATCTCTGCTGTTAGATTTGCACCTTTGCAACAGGTCAGTTGAAATGAACGTACGCTTGCCGGGTTATCGGTCATTTTCCTTGTGCGCGGCCTTCGGGGCGATTGTGCAACCACACGGTTGAATGCGCTTTGTGCTGTGTCCCGTCCAGGCGTAGGTGTGCCTCTTTCAGATTCGAAGCCTGCTCCTTCGGCTAAAGCGCACAGATGTTCCCCAAAAAGGAACCGGAGCCCTTGACGATTTTCCCGCTCAATTCGCATTCACATCGCGAACCCCGCAACGGGTGCGCACTTCTCCGCAACTGCTTATCCTTGTAATACCCGCTGTGGTTCAGGCTGTGCGGCGCATACAGGCAACTCCGGAACTGCTCTAATCCGCCTATTTGTGCTGCTGAATTTTTTTTCCCCAGGGCGTCGACACCGTCACTGCCTTTGGCTCAGCTGCCACACGTCCACATTCCGGAGGAGAGTTTTGGGCAGAAAGTGCGTTATCTGCCAAGGCGCGAGAGATCGTGTTATCTGGTTGACTAGCATGCGCACGTATAGTGACAAGGCGGATGCGAAACGTTAGCCTGCTCTTGTGATGATGGGTGCTGGCGCATGCAGGTGAAATAATAGCAAGAGCACGCCGCCCTTGCTGAACTGAGACGTCCCACCAACAGAATGCACGCGAGGTGCTATCAGCGGAAGCAGTTTGTACTAACATCCTCGGTGTTGCTTCCCTGCAGCAAGC